AATGACCACAGCTTCAAGAACAACTGTAAAAAGGAATCACCAAGCAAAGCATGCAGTTGAACAGGGGGGAAAAGTAGGGAACCAACAGCAGAAAAATTATGATAAATATAAGCCAATATATATCAGTTATAACCATCAATGTAAAGGGTCTTAATTCACCAATCAAAAGAAGCAGACTGACAGAGTGGATCAAGAAACAAAATCCAACAGCGCCTGCCTGGCAAGCGCAAGGTCGTGAGTTCAGTTCCCGGTACCAGAAAAAAACCAAAAACAAAAAGAAACAAAATCCAAATCATGATGTACACAAGAAACACATTTAACTCAAAAGAAAATTCATAGACTGAAAGTGAAAGAATGTAAAACAACACTTCATGTGACAAGAACCCAGAAAAAGTCAAGGGAAGCTATTCTGATCATAGACAATGAACTTCAAACCAATAGTGATCAAAAGAGATAAATAGAGTCACTACACTTGTCAGGGGAAAACAGCAAGAGAAAGAGATAACAATCATAAACATATGTGCACCAAATACTCTATAAAGCAAATATTAACAGACATGAAAAATCAAATAAACAATAACAAAATTGTAATGGGGGACTTTGACAACTCATTGTCACAAAGAAGTAGATCAATTAGACAAAAAAATCAGCAAAGAAATAACAGAACTAAACCAAACCTGTGCACAAATGGACTTAGTAGACCGTTACAGAGTGTTCTACCCAACAACATCAGAATACACATTCTTCTAAGCTGTACATGGAACATTCTCCAAAATGGACCATATACTAGCATATGTGCTTAAGTGACTGCAAAGGAAATTATTCCATGCATATTATCTGTCCACAGTGCAACAAAATTGGAAATTATTGAAAAAAGACATTGCAAAAACTCCACAAACACATGGAAATTAAATAATAGCCTCCTGAACAACCAATAGGTCACAGTTGAAATTAAAGAAGATATTGAACAATATTTTCAATCAAATGAAAATGTAGCTACAACTTACTGGAACCTGGGGGATGCAATGAAAACAGTCCTAAGAGGGAAATTTATAGTGGTGAATTCTCACATCAGGAAAACAGAACAAGTACAAATAAACAATCTTATGCTGCACCTCAAGCTTCTAGAAAAAGAAGAGCAAGTCAAGCACAAAGCCAAAGAAGGCAGGAACTTATAAAGATCAGAGCAAAAATTAATCAATGGAGACTAAGAACATAATACAAAGAATTAATGAATCAAAGACTTGGTTCTTTGAAAGAATAAGTAAAATTGATAAGCCCCAAGCCAATCTTACCAAAAAGAGGAAGGAAAAAACTCAAATTCACGCAATGAAGAAAAAAAGGAAGAAATTACTACAGAGCCTATAGAAATTCAGAAGATCATCAATACCTACTTTGAAAATCTTTATTCTCAGAGGATGGAAAACACAGAAGAAACAGACAGATTCCTAGATACATATGAATTACCAAAGATGAATAAAAGAAGATATACACATTCTGCATAACCCAGTATCAGTCAATGAAATTGAAAATGTAATGAAAAACTTATCAACAAAGAAAAGCCCAGGTCCTGATGGATTCACAGCTAAAATTTAGAGAAGATTTAATGTCAATTCTTCTCAAACTCTTTAATGAAATTGAAAGGGAAGCAGTTCTACCTAACTCATTCCTGATACCAAAACCAGAGAAAGACCCAACCAAAGAAGACAACTACAGGCCAATCTCCCTAATGAACATAGATGCAAAAATACTCAATAAAAATACTAGAAAACAGAATGCAGCAAATCATCAAGAAGAGTATACACCATGACCAAGTGGTATTCATTCCAGGAATGCAGGGATGGTTCAAGATATGCAAATCAACAAATGTAATACACCTTATCAACAGAGCCAAACACAAAAAAACACACAATCATCTCAATAGATGCAGAAAAAGCTTTTGACAAAGTCCAACACTCATTCATGATAAAAACCATAGAGAAAATAGGAATAGATGATCTTTAGCTCAATCTGATAAAAGCCATCTATGGCAAGCCAACAGCAAACATTGTACTAAATGGACAAAACTGCAAGCCTTTACTTTAAAATCAGGAGCAAGACAAGGGTGTCCACTGTCACCACTCCTATTCAATATAGTTCTGGAAATATTAGCCAAAGCAATTAGACAAGAGAGAGAAATAAAAGCAATAAGGATTGGAAAAGAAGAAGTGAAATTATCATAATTTGCACATAACATGATATTCTACATAAAAGACCAAAAAAATTCCACCAAAAGGCTTATAGATTAAATAGCCAAATTCAGTAGCATAGCTGGATACAAATTCAACACTCAAAAATCAGTGGCATTCCTATACACAAACCACAAACATACTGGGAGACAAGAAATTAGGGAAACTATACCTTTCACAATAGCATCTTAAAAAATTAAATACTATGAATCAATCAAACAAAGGAAATAAAAGATCTATACAATGAAAATTACAGTACTCTGAAAAAAGAGATTGAAGATGATTTCAATAAATGGAAAGATTCCTTGTTTGTGGATAGGGAGAACCAACAATAGGAAAATAGCCATACTCCAAAAATTCTTGCTCAGGTTCAATGCAGTCCCAACTAAAATACCATTAGTATACCTCATAGATCTAGAGAAAACATTCCTAAAATTCATCTGGAACCAGAAGAGACCTAGAATACCAAATGCAATCCTGGGCAACAAAAGAAAGGCAGGACAAGGCCAGGCATGGCAGCACATGCCTGTAATCCCAGCACTCAGGAGGCTGAGTCAGGAGGATCGCTGTGAGTTTGAGGCCAGCGGAAGGCTGAATCAGGAGGATTGCTGTGAGTTTGAGGCCAGCCTGGGCTACAAAGTGAGCTCAAGGCTAGTCTGAACTGCATAGTGCTCAGAAAGACAAAAAAAGAAAAGAAAAGAAAGACGGAAAGAAAGGCAGGACACATCACAATCTCTGATTTGAAATTATACTACAAAGCTACTGTGATAAAATAAGCATGGTAATGGAAAAAAACACAGACCTGAGGATCAATGGAACAGATTAGAAGATGCAGACACAACTACAAACACACTTAGCCACCTTATCTTTGACAAAGGGGCCAAACATGTTCACTGGAAGAAAAGTAGCCTCTTTAATAAATGGTGCTAGAAAAACTGGCTTTCTAAACGCCAAAAACTAAAATTAGACAGACGTCTATCACAATGCACTAAACTAAAGTCAAAATGGATCAAAAATCTAAATATTAACACAGGAACACTAAATCTATTGGAGGAGAAAGTAGGTAGAAATCTTGACATAGAGGTAGGCAGAGAGTTCACAAACAAAAACCAAACTGCATAGGAAATACTTCAAAGAATCAATAACTGGGATCTCATCTTATTGAAAAGTTTTGCACATCAAAAGAGATCACCGGAGCTGGGGATTTAGCTCAGCGGCAAAGCGTCTGCCTGGCAAGCGCAGGGTCGTGAGTTTGGTTCCCGGTACCGGAGGGGGGGGAAAAAAAAAAGAGATCACCAACAGGGTAAAAAGAAAACCCATGAATTGGGAAATAATTTTAGCCAACTATCCATCAGACAAAGGACTTCTATCTAGAACATGTAAAGAATTTAAAAAAAAATAGGCCCCCAAAATTCAAAGACCCAATCAAAAAATGGGCATCTGAGGTGAATACACATTTCTCAGATGAAGAAATACAAATGGAAAATAAATATACGAAAAAAATTTTAACATCATTGGTCATTCGAGAAATGCAAATTAAAGCAACACTGAGATTCCATCTCACCCTAGAAAAAATGGCTATCATCAAGAAATCAGCCAATGACAAATATTGGAGGGGCTCTGGGGAATAAAGAATACTTCTTTTCCACTGTTAGTGAGAGTGCAGACTGGTACAACCACTGTGGAAATCAGTGTGGAGATTCCTCACAAAACTAGGATTAGAGGTCCTATTCCCCTTCTGGGTATATTTCCAGAACTGAAAACATAACACAGCAATATATGTGCACGTATGTTTGTAGCAGTGCAATTTGTCACAGCTTAATCTTGGAAATAACACAAATGCCCATCAATGAAGGAATGGATAAAAAAGATGTGGCTTTTTATATAATGGAGAATTACTCAAGTATAAAAAAGATAAACTGAGGCTTTTACAGGTAAGATGCAACTACAGACCATACTCATAAGTGAAATAAATCAAACCCACATGTGTAAACATCATATGGTCTCCCTGGTGTAAGAACCTGAAAGAGTAAATAAAGCCCAAGGCATACATAGATATTGTGAAAGGGAAAGAAACTGCTCACAGGGAAAGAAAAACTGAGATGAGGGAAAGGAGAAAAGAAAGAAACAAGAAAGGGAAAAACACATATATATGGATATACAAGGATAGCTGGGATAATTGTACTGTTGATGTTTATTGGTTTATTGTATATCTGGTAATCTGAACAATGATTTGAAGACAACAATATGCAATATAACAACCATTGTTAAATAACTACTATCTTGAGTAGTGAAGCTCTGTATCATTTCTAATGTTTTTTTACTATATTTATTCTATTTAATTATTTGATCAATCTTGCACTCTTGCATCTGGTAATCTGAGCAACTTTGCTGAAGATTACAATATGTAATATAACAACTGCTGTTAATTCCTATCATCTTGTTTTGAAATTCTATATCATTTTTATTGTTTTTGTGTTGTTTTGTTTTTATCTATGTTGTTGTTTTCTTTTCCCTTTAAAATAAAAAAAGTGAGAAAGAATGGCTACCATCAAGGAATGCACTTATAATAAATGTTGGAAGAGCTGTGGGGAAACAGGGACCCTTCTCCACTGCTGGTGGGAGTGTGGACTGGTACAACCACTGTGGAAATCAGCGTGGAGATTCCTCAAAAAACTAGGACTGGAGGTGATGATAGATCATATTTCAAGGATGCTTAAAGGGAATCAAATAATGCCTCAGAAGAACAGATGTCACTCAGGATTGGAATGATAAAATGTACAAAGACATACAAAATCTTTATTAAATGACCACACAGTAATCTGATACAATACTTCCTGATACAAGAAAATGTATTATGAACTGACTTATAGTATATTTCTTAAAATCCCAAAGTAACATGTTATAGATAAAATCCATCTGTACACATTGTCATCCACCTTTTATAACTATTCCCCCTCTATTTGAATATCCTCTTCCATATACCTATGTGCAAGTCACTGCATCTTCTCAACCATATTTCTCTTTCCCCTGAATTGTAACCTATTCCCTATAAAGTCTCTTCAAAATAACAACCCCCAGAAATTTCCCACTGTTACCAAATTTTGACCTTGGCTAGCTCTCCTGAAAAAGAGCGATCAGGTAAATTCACAATTAGGAGGTTGCAAGGGGCACTAGACTTTTTACCATATGATCTCTCCTCTCTTCTCCAATCTCATGTCTCATATTTTACCACTGGGTTCCTCCCTTCCAGACACAGTGACCTGCTTTCTCACATATCCCACTTCAGAATTTTACATAATGCAGGCTAGAACTGATTACGGTGCTAAGCATACTGCTGGGACACCAAATATCTAATAAAAGAAATTATAAATAAAAATCAAGCACAGATTATATCTAAAAAAAGTAATTTCTACTTAAGACAGTGACCCAACTTTGAGACTATCAGCCCCAACAAGCTTCAGAATGATAACTGATGGATATAACTAGCTAGTAATACCAAAAGACTAAATAAACCATGTACTTCTCAAATATAGGGGGGACTATTTCTCAAATGTAAACAGATGATGAAGTGATATATAAAATCCAAATATATTCAAAGATCATATCAAATTCATAATTGGTTTATCATTAAATATCTTCTCAGCTTACACACAGTAAATAACTTCTACTGCAAATGAGTTCTTAAAAATGCTGGCATTGCAAAAAGTATCCAATGCCAAAAAAGTGTTGAGAATCCCCAGCCCAGGGTTCAGTAACTCTTCAGACAAGGTTTGACATATGTGGATTCCATTGTTTCAATATGTATATACATAAGCTGACATGCTTCCTTTTATAGTGATAAAGTCAAAAACATTTACAGGGTATTAAGTTTTACCTATGTGCACAGGAAGAATGGATTTACATCATTTACATTTGGAGGAATAAATTTAAAGTTACAAAAGGAAAATAAACAAATATATGTTTATAAACATATACTAAAGTACATACAAAAATATATTAGTTTAATTTATCAGGACTTCCCAAAACATTTTAGTCTGAAATGTTCTCTTAGCATTAATTTCCTATATTTACTATCAGCTAAACAGGCACTCAGGGCTGTTTTGCATCAAATGTCCCATCCCACTTTTTGTAAAAGGCCTCCCACCTAGTTCATTAGCAACAACCAATAGAGAATAGGTAGGAACTCAACAATAACTCTAAGGTAGGTTGATTGCTTGGTCCTCCTTGAATTTGGGAATCTTCTTAAATTCACTTTGTCTCCTGAAGAAAAGTTGGGCCAAGATATGGTCTGCAGTGGCCTGCATATAATCATCCATGTCAAGGGTTTGCAGCTGATGGTATAAAAATCAAAAGATGTGTCAGCACAAAACTGTTCTGATTCCTGCAGAGATCATACAGCTGTCAAGGCATGTGCAGTACTGCCTGATTCGTGCTATGAACTTCTGCACATGCTCACCTTGACGCCAGTCTTCCCTTGCCACACAGAGCTCACTTTTTCAACTCAAAGTATGGAGAATATAATGGCTAGAATGGCTGAGGCATCCCAAGAATCCTTTGGAAGGAACTTCTGCCCCAGTAGGAAATGGTTCTCTGTGAGGAGCAAGCAGGTTTATCTTTCTTCCTGTGAGCAAGGATGAGTGGCAAAAGGACTACTCAGACCCCCAAGCCCAGAGCACGTAAGGTAAACCCACTACCAAATAAGTGGTCCCAGTGCTCCAAGCCAGATACCGGTCTCTCCCCACAGAGCTGGAAATCTCTGCCTGCCTGGGCTGGATGTCCAGTAGGCTGGGTCTGACTCTCTGTATCTTTTTTTGTCCCCTATATTATACCCCCCTTCCTTACACTACCCCTCCTTCTCAGTTTTTTCTCAATTTCTGTATGTAAAGATACATCTCTTTCCTTCCCTCCTTCCTTTCACATACCTGGTACCAACATAGCCCTCTTTTAAACCTTTCCCATTACTCACTCCAATTAGGTAATCGGGGACTACCATTGCTCAAGATGTACACTGTACACTCCTAAGGGCAGAGATAGGAATAAAAACTTCCTCCTACCCCAAATTCTAATTCATTCCTTTCTTCCCTGTTATAAATCACCCCATAAATTGTTTCTTTTCATTTAAAAATTATACTTCTATCTCTTCTTAAAATATTTGTAATCTTTAATTTTTGGCTTATATTTAATGGTATTCAATTGGCATTTCATCCTTTCACATTTTTAGTTTTAATAGTTGGTATTAGGCTTTCATGTCACACTAAATTTTACTTATCCCTATATTTATTTTAATTATTCACTTTTTACTTCTGGAATATTTTATACTTGTAATTTATTCTATTTATTTTGAATTCTCTTTTCCTCTTCTTAACTATTTAAACTCTAACTTGCTATTTTTAACTTGAGTTTTTTCTTCTTGTTTACATTTGGTTGAGTTGGATTTGTTGTTCTGATTTGTTCTTAAAATGGCTGTAGAAAATGGTGCCAAGGGGGCAGCAATGCCAGTAAGTAGGAGTCACTGGAATCCTTCTCCCAACAGTCTATAGCCAACTTTACATTCTACCTCTTTGTTACACAGATCTCTACAAACCTTGTCCAGATTTACCCAGAAAGGTTTTGACCTACAGGGAAATAGGTGCTGGAATTTTCCACTTTCCCCATAGAAGGTAGGATGCTGTTCTGGAAAATAAGCATCACTCAGCAGGACATAACCCTCCTTTGGGCTGAAGCCCTGGCGACGATATTGCATAATTCATACTGTGTTCACTCCTGGGGCCTTTGCTGCGGCTCCTTGAAGGAAGAACCACAGCCAGAAGATATGTCTGTCTATTCCCAAACTTGGCCCAGGTGTTCCTAAACAAACTGTTAAAACTCTCACAGTCTCAGAAGGTAACCTAGTCCTAAGGACTTCTAAATATCTAAAGTCCACAGGAAAAAGAGAGAAAGGGAATTAATTTTTAAAAAATTTTAAAGGGTGGCATTGTGAAGTGCTGTGTATACACCAAGTCCCTAATAAAGAAATCATGGGTGAATTTTTAAAGATTAATGCAGTGAATAATTTCCTAATTTATGCTTTATAGCTTAGAGCATATTAGACATGCTTAAAATATGAGAAAAAATGTTATTTTATTACTCTGAAGTTTCTTTCCATAAGAACCTCTCTCTCTCTCTCCTCTCCCCTTCTCTCACACAATTCTCTCTTCCCTCCACTTCCATTCCATTTAAGAGGAACAAAGTAGTCATGCTCACTTCAACTCCTCCAACTTCCTGTTTGCAAGTTGGTAAACCTTCACAGAGCAGCTGTTACTTTATGCCATAAGGTGTTTAAGGGCGTACCTCAACATAGGTATGCCTAGTCAATAAGGATAAATATTAGGAAATCTACTTGCCACAGATATTAGTCACATTCTCTAATATCTACTTGGTTAGTAAGTAAGATGATTTCATGGTTCTCTGTGTACTGATTCTTTAGTTTTTCTCAGCTGGTTCCGAATTTGGGAAATTAAGAGAGAATTTGATATATAGGAGTCCTTTAGAACTAAGTGGAGATTATTTGATTCTCCTTGCTCTTCCCACATTTTCATCCAGCTTACTTGTTCCTCCATTCACTTCACACATATTTACTTATTGAGAGGCCTGCTTCATCCACACATTGCTTAGCAGACTATTCTATGGATTACTAACACAGCATGCTCTCTTAAACGGGTTTATCCTTACCTTGTCTCCAGTACTGAAGGCAAGAATGAAAAGCAAATCCTCATCGCATGTGCTCTTAATGTAATGCTGGGTTCCAATGGGGAAAAATATCACATCTCCAATGTGGATGTCAAATTCTATAGTACCCTGAGTATTGATAATACCCACCTAAGGGACATAATTTATGTTTACATTAAGTACAAAAAATCAAATACTCATTAAAGATAAATATTAATAGCAAAGAACAGGTGACTAAAAACATGGTTATATGAGGACTTCTTAGTGACAGTGAAGTGCAGAAGATGGAGGCCATCTTTCGCAAAAATTCTTATTTTAGAGATACAGCCCCCGAAAAATCAAAATATACTAAGTATTATTCAAAATGCACTACTGAGTTCAATATGCAGAACATCATATAAAAAAATGCATCAATTGCTATTTTGTAATTAAGGATTAGAAATTTTGTTCCATATACTTTAGGCAGAGAATTTACAGTTCAGGGTTTCACTACCTTCATGTCTTCATTTCTATCATCCTTCTAGGAGAGTAACATCTTTAATTCTTTCTTAAAAGAATGAGAGACTAAATATGTCTATGATGCAAACACAAGCACAAGAAAAGTACAGTCTTTGAAATATAATTTGTGGAAGGTTACAAAGCTTTTTCCCAAAGCATTAAAGTATTCACCTCTAAAAACATAGAACAAATCCTTTGCTATGGCATAAAGTGAATTTCAGTCTGATTTTGGTTCTTTCAAAATTGAGAAAAGTATTGGCTAATGAGGTCCATTCCACTTGTTGGATATATTGTAGATTTCCCAAGAGAATCCCATGAAAGTCTAGAATAGACTTTCAGTCAAATCATTGTATTAATACACTACACAGCTTGACTTTCTTTAATGGTACTCATAAAAGTGATCACACAAACCAGGCTCTCTAAAGAGTCAAAGGAGGTATTAATAATTTCATCCAGAAAACAAGTATATATTGGGAGTATCCTGGACCAGCTGGACTATATGCCACCATACTGTTGTTTCACACCTTCCTGGCTACTCCAATTCACATTATACTGAGAAGCAAATAGCTACTTCACACTCTCACAGAGAGCAACCCATTCCACTTTGCATTACCTGAATGTACAAAACTCTCAAAATCTAAGCAAGTATTCCAGATTCCATCAAAAAAGTCTTTATCACTTCTACTATATTCTTAGCTTCTTTCACACTCATCTTGAATCTTTCTGACTAAGCCAACTTGGAGACCACTTAACAGGGTCTGCATAGTATCATCTGTTGAAACTGTGCCCAGAAAGCTACTGGGACTGTCATTTTAGGGTACTAATGACTGTACTAAAACAACAATAACAAAATCTCCCATTTGCTTCTTTCTGCATTGAAAAATAAACATAAAATGTTTACAGAGAAATTACCTTTCCACAGCCACTTAATACATATCCCATTTCATTTGCATTAAAATGAAAATGTGGTTGCCGTAATCCATTATTATAAATTTTGAGTGTACTCAAACTGAGAGCATTTTCATGCTTAAGAAAGAAAAAGAAAAAGAAAAAGAAATCCAGTTATTTTGTCAACATACTACCTTAGAACAATTTATATAATCATGAAAATAACTAATATTTATACAGCTCTAAGAATGTGGACTTTTCTATGTCCTTAGCACTTATTATATCACTTATTCTTCAAAACAATCTGATAAGCTCTGTAGTATTATTCTCTTCATTTTATAGGCGATGGAATTAAATCTAAGTTGGTTGAAGAATTTACCTACAATCACATAGCCAAGTGGCAGAACTAGAATTTGAACCTATGGAATCTGATGCCACATCTATGCAATATGGTCAGCTGAGCATTTAAAACAAATGAAAAGAAAGCTCTCACAAGTATCCAACCTTTTTACTCATGTAACCATCCATGTTATAGAAGTTAAATTCCTAGATCTGCCCTGAAGCCTGGAGTGATAACTTACATTGATCAAGTCAGCCAATGCTTGGCAAAATCTTTTCTTTTTGCTCAAAAGCCTGAATCCAATTTAAATCTCATATTTCATCTATGTGAATGCTCATCAAACAATTTTCTCAATTACCTCATTCAGGAATTCACTGAAAATTTTTTCATTGTTGCTTAGTTCACTTCCATTCTTCCAATAATGTGCCTTTTGTATTACTCCTCCTGGAAACCGATATTCTTTGGAACCTAAGTCAGAAGAGGTTTAAGAAATAAAATAAGATCAACTATTTCAAAATGGTAAAGTAGAAATACTTAACTAAAAAGGTTTCATAAAACAATATACCATACCTTTAAGGTCAAAAAAGTATCTCCACACAAGGCTGTCTGGAGATTGTACATAACTAGCATTCATAACCAGGTCTGCCAGGTTGTGAGGAAGATTAACCGCTTGGTCTTCGGTTTGCTTATGAAATTTTCTAATGAAATTAACTCCACCTTCAGGCTGAAACACACAAGAAACTATGTAAGATGTTTGCGGGGCATTGTACAAACTGTAGTAATAGAAATGTGAGTAGTTGAGGACAGGGTAGCATTAGCTCCAGTGTGGTTATCGTGATCCAGGCAGAAGAGCTCCCATCAATTAGCTTTAAACTTGTAATACTTGTGAAGATCCCTTAAATTTTTAATATTTTGGTTTCAAGTAGTTGGTATTTTATGGTAAATAAAAGTCCTGCAAAAATATACATTGGTCTGCATGCTTACACATTCCCTGTAATGAATCATTTCTCTTATTTCTTCCTATAGCACTAGACTATTAGAATACTGTAAGACAATCTCAAAAACTTATTAAGCAGATTCCTGAGCTTACCACAGAAGCCCCTCCAGTTGCTCATCATGGGCCATCACCAATTCTTTCCCATTTGCAATGTCAGTATCTATTAGCAGCCACACCTAACCCACTGTAACCAGCCCCAGCCCACTGTCAGCTGTCCCCCTGCCCCAGAAACAGTGCAGGTATTTGAAGTAATTTATAGTTAAATAGGAATAAGAAGTTCTGCTGTACTATTCCATAGTAGGGTGACAATAGATAACATAATGTACTACAGATTTTAAAAAGCTAGAAGAAAGGACTTAAGATTTTTTTTTCCCATAAAGAAATGGTAAATGAGGAGATAGCCATGTTTAATCTGATTTAAACATCATACACTGTGTACATGTATCAAAATATGTCATAGTACTCCATTAACTTGTTCAGTTTTAAGTGTCCATTAAAATAAATGAGATTTTTTTAAAATAGCAATTCTTGAGGAAAACTATAGTATTCTCTGCATGAGATTAGGGGAAAAAATGATTCCAATATCTGCAATAAACTTTCTTCACAGAAAGAATGAGTAAGCTTATGGCTTTTAAAGGATATAAATTACAGCAATTTTTCCATTGATTATATTACTGTCTCCTGCTACCACACTGTAATTTCCTATGGAAGCCCTCCATAAAGGAAAATAAATAGTAACAACATATCCAAAAAGTTTTGTCTTTAGTAGGAATACAAGGTACACTTTTGAGTCAATGATTCAATTGTTACCATACCTCTGAGCAAAATTCTTGGGCATCTACACTGGTTGCCTTCCCACAAACAGTTCTACCATCTTTGCGACTGCATTATAAATATCTTCATAGTGAAAGGGATTTTCAAAACTGGTACATACCTTAAGAGACCTGGAAGCAATGTCTTCAGGTGTAGAGAAAAATACATCATCAACATCCAGAGTCTGAAGTTCATCATGTGTAGAAAAGAAGAGAAGGAAAAAGCAGTCTTCATTACCCACATTCTTTATCCAGTGCAGTGTATTTTTAGGGAAGAAGATTACTTGACCAGCTGTGACATTGTATGTGGTAGCTACTTCACCACCATCATCAACCACCCCAATCCATGCAGTGCCCTGAAATATAAACAGAAAAGCACATCCCATTTCACTTTAGAGTGATGTTTCTCAATCTTTTTTCACTGCCTGATTCTAAGGTATTATTTCAGACTTGTTTCCTATCACCACTGGCCTGTGAAATTTTAATGTGTGTGCACTTTCCAGTTAAGAAAAGCCCTGAACACAGTTTTAATAATAATAGGAGCTAAAACTTGGTGCTTTTATTATTTCAGATATTCATGTAAGCAATTCGCCTGTTTCAATTCAATTACTCCTTATATCAATCCCATGAAGCATAATACTTTATATTCTCCACTTTACAGGTGAGAAAACTGAGTTTAGCAAGAATGTGTAATTTTCCTAAGGTTATTCATCTAAGCCAATGGAGAATCTGGGATTTGGGACCTCAGCAGTGTGGCTCCAAAGTCTACACTTTTACCCATACTATACCATACTTTGATATAAATTCTATACTTTCTCTCATTTTATACTCTGTTCCTCAGTACTACCTTTAAGGTAGTTACAGAAGAAGCCATTATTTCTGTTTTACCAGCAACTCATGTTCACATACTGTAATATATATATGGTGGATGAAAAAGAGGTCTTTGAAACAGGTACAGAACATGAACATGATAAAAGCTACAGCCACCATACCACTAAATGCAGTAAAACTAAAAGCATCCCCCTTAAAATCAGGAATAAGACAAGATTATACTCTCACCTCTTCTATTCAACACAGTGCTTGAAACATTAGCCAGAGCAAGTAGGCAAAAGAAAAAATAAAAGAGATACATACAGGAAGGGAAGAACTCAAATTACCATTATTTGCAGATAACATGATATTCTACATAGAAGACTCAAAGAACTCCACCAAAAAAGTCTTAGAATTAGTAACGAATTTCTGCAATGTAGCAGGACACAAGATCAACACACAAAAATCACTTGCATTCTTATACACCAACAATTAATGGGATGAGAAGGGAATTATGAAAATAATACCATTCACAGTAGCTTCAAGAAAAATTAAACACCTAGGAATTAACCTAAGCAAGAAAGTGAAAGACCTCTGCAAAGAAAGCTACAGTACTTTGAAAGGGAGATTGAAGAGGACAGTAGAAAATGGGAAGATGTCCCCTGCTCCTGAATATGCAAAACCAATACAGTCAAAATGGCTAATAATCCTCAAAACAACCTGAATACCCATCAACAGATGATTGGATAAAAAAAAGAAAAGGAAAATGTGCTATTTATCTATAATGGACTACTACTTGGATATAAAAAATAACAGGTTTGAGATGTGTGTAGGAAAATGGATGCACCTGGAAAATATGACATTGAGTGAAATAAACCAGATATATAAGTTTAAATACGATATGGTATTTCTCATTTAAGTGAGGCAAAGTACAAATAAGAGAATAATAAAGGATGGATAGCAGAGGACAAGGAGATGGGCTCTTGCACTAGGGAAGTCCAAGGGAAAAGTGTCTTTAAAATTAAAAAAAGGAAACAAAATGTGAAGGGTGAGGGGGAGAGGAAGGGAAAACAAGTAGAATAAAGCTATGCCATGTACAGGATCCTAATAACCTCAATTAATGTAAATATTATCTGCCATAACATAAGCTAAGATTAATAATATCAACAAGACTGAAAAATGGGATACGGCAATTAGAGGAGGATGGAGAGAGAGGGATGGAAAGAAATTTTAAAAAAAGAAACACCCTGTAGTATGTAGTAACCACTCCCCAAGAAGACTGCAAACACGTACTAATAAAATTTTAAAAAGCACTCTTTGTTCTGTTTGTAGAGCATGTATAATCTGGATGCATCTGCGAACTAAAGAGGAAAGAGAAACCTTTAAAGCGCTCTCTCCAGGCCAGGGATATAGCTCAATGGCACATCACTTGCCTGGCAAGCGTGATGTCCTGAGTTCTATTCCCAGCACCAAAAAAATAAAAGAGCTCTCTCCTTGTCTGCATACAGAAAAGGACAGGAATATCTATTCATTTTTCTTAGGGGATCAACTATCCCAGATGTAAAGCAGAGGCAGCATGGTGGCTGATGGGATCCTTGCAGTGGTGAATGGGTAGGTACACCAGCTACCTCACCTGCCTTGCTTCTCTCAGGCTCACCTGCGAGGCATCTTGAAGATGCTCAGAAGCAGTCTACATGAGTGAGTGCAACAGAAGAACTTCCTACTCATTCTATTCAATGGTTGCTTGACCTGACTATGAGTCAGTGATCTCATGGTTTTCCTAAGACCCAGAGAATATTCAACACCATAGAGTCCACATTTAGAAACTCACCTCATAAAATCTCTCTGGACTTTGAGAACAGCCTCCCCAGACTAAGCTAGATCCCAAAGTCTCCTGTCCACTCCAGCACGCTCCAGCTCAGACTCCCTAGTGTGCAGTTTGCTGTAGGGATCCCCCTCCAGGAAAGTCCACTTAGCTGGCTTTTCTTTCACTTTATGCTCTTCAACCGCTCAGTAAGGATATAAAAACTAATTTTTTGGAGAGTATCCCCTTTTACATATTTTATGTGTATGAAAAAAAAAGTCAGAAAACAATTACTTTGTCCCAGGCCAGCCAACAACTTCATATATCCACATCCAAATATCCACAAAGATATTTATATGTATCCTTAGAAAACTTTCCTGCTCTCTCTGAACCTTTCATGAGAAATAAAGATTTGGTTCCATATAGATGAATCTAATCTCTCTTCCTATTTTAAATTCTAAAACTGAATGAATTGTCCCAGTAAAAGGGGGGGTCTTAATTAATGGCAACAAAAATTACACCATAAAATTGGCTGCACATCGGTTAACCAGATCATTAGAGCAAGACCAAACTCGGAAAGTACTGGGAAGAAAGAAGACCAATAAATATTCTTTGGAATTAAATTATGTGAAATTCAAGTAAGTACACTATTTTACCTCCATCTATGTGTATTTCACTCAACTTCAGAACATTGTGAAAGATCTAAACCACAAAAGGGCATCCAATCACCCTGGTCTTAGAGACTCCCACATGAACATCAGCAAACCAGTTTGTTATTCTAGTTGCTGCTTTTTTCCTTACAATATAAAGCTGCTGTTTCTTTGATCATTAGATCAGAGTTCCCAATTTTAGCTTTGGCTCAGAGGACTAAATAGTAATCTTATTTTAACAATAGTGTGTGAAATATAATTTCATACTGAAGAAAAAAGTTCAAAGCGATGACAAAAATAATTAAACAGGCCATTGCTCGGAGGCACTGCTAACCAATCTAATTGGATCTAATTGAAAGTCTCCTTATTTATCTAACAATTAAGTAGGGTGTTAAGTAGATTTTGTAACAATTTAAAATAATACCCCAAGGACATACAATACAGACGTTTAAAAGCAGAGTGTGGGAAGACCAGTTATACCTGCACCAGATAGCCATGCTCATTGGCATTAAAGTGCCAGTGAGGGGCCCGGAGGCCCTTGCTCTTTATTCTCAGGGTCCCCAGAGTCATCTGCGATCTCTGACTGTTCAAGCTGGTGCCAAAGGCCTCTTCTTCATCACTAAGATAGTCTTTGATGTTGTTCCTGTACCGGGCCCACTGGATTGCACCACCAGGGAACTCAAACACCTAAAAAAGCATCAGCAAGCAACCATCATCATGGAGGCCATCTCCTAAGGAACATGAGGGGACCAGGACCTATCTAGAGAGTAAGAAGGGGGCAAAATGGAAAAGGCAATGGTAGTGAGGTGAATTTTGGAGTTTTGAAGACAAGGACTAGGTTGGCAATATGGCAGGAATGAGAGTAGTGGACTTAGCAGTGCTACTAGTCTAAAACTTGTTAGACATGAAAGAACACCTAACTTGGCAAGTGAATAGAGGGCTTTCCCTCGATCATCTGAAACAGTCCCCTCCAGCCGCCCCCACAGGATTATGTACTGAAGAAATTGCTGCTTGAGGCCCACATCAACCCAACCTCCTTCCCTCCTGCTGCCCTTCCAATACAAACTAAGCTTAGTAACATACAATGGAAAGATAATTTTGAAATAGCTACTTAGTTTATTTTTCCAATGTCATGATTCATACCTTTGACTTAGGTAAATGGTTAAGAAACTGGAATTTGGGATCAACAGCCTTTTGTACTTTGGGAACTGCTGTTGTTCTCATTGGCCAAGCAGGTTGGAGCTGAACATGTAAGCGAGGCTGGGAGTTAAGGTAAACCAAGGAGACAATCAGTACTCCTACTGCTGTGGTGATGAAGCAGGCCAAGAGACACATGAGAAAAATCCTCATCAATGACCACTGCTTCTTCTTTTCCTAGGAGAAAATATCAAGTCATTATTCTCTATTCATAATGTGGGAGGGAATGAACCTTCCTATACTACTAGTGGGAATGTAGATTAGTACAACCATGGAAATAGTATGGAGGTTCTTCAAAAACCTAAAAATAGAATTACCATGTGACCCAGCTATAAGACTCCTTGGTACACACCCAAAGGAATTAAAGTCAGTATAATACTATAGTGGTACCTACACACCCATGTTTATTGAGGCACAATTCACAACCAACAAAATATAGAATGAGCCTACATGCCCATTCATGAATGACTAGATAAAGAAAATGTAGCATATATAGGCATATTATTCCACTGTAAAGAAGGAAATTATAATGTTTTCAGGAAAATGGATATAACTAGAGATCACTGTATTAAGCAAAAAAAAAAAAAAAAAAAAGCCATATTTAGAAAGTTAAGTGTCATGTGTTTTCCCTAATATGGGAAATAAAAATGGAGCAGGAGGTGAAAGTACAGAAAGACTATTAGATAAAAGGAAGAGAATAAGGATGCAGGGAGGGGATGTAAGGATGGATCGATCAAATATATGCACGTATGGGGCTGGGGATTTAGCTCAGCGGCAAAAGCGCCTGCCTGGCAAGTGCAAGGTCGTGAGTTCGGTTCCCGGTACCAGAGAAAAACCAAAAAAACAAAAAACAAACAAACAAAAAAAATATATGCACGTACTAAAATAACACATTGAAACCCCGAAGTTTGTAAAACTAATAGATATTAACAAAAAAAATTAAAAATTAAAAATAAAAACAGGAAATTGTAATACAGGCATATGGGGATGGGTGTCATTTGAAGACATCAGAATATGGCCATCTACAAGCCAAAGACAGAAGCCTAGAATGAAACCAACCCTGCTGACACCCTGATGCTGGAATTCTATTACTTAACTTCTTCTCCCTACAAAAAAACTTTTTTTTATTTTCTCAAATTTGTCTTTCTAATAACTTCAACTAAATCTGACTGACAAAATGAAAGAATGTATTTTTAAAAGTAGACTTAATTTTTTTTTTCTTATCTCTCTGGTGATGAATCAAAAATGCTCAGGGGGCTGGGGATTTAGCTCAGCAGCACAGCGCCTGCCTGGCAAGTGCGAGGTCATGAGTTCAATTCCAGATATCAGAAAAAAAAAAAAAATGCTCAGAACAGGAAATACTACCTTTCCTAATAAGATACCTGGCCTATGGCATCTGTCACAAGCTCTGTGTCAGAACACTGGGGGTAATAAATCTCTAGCTAGAAACACAGAAACTTTGCAATGGAAAGTATCCTAAAGATTTTAGATTAACCTCTATGACCCATTTCCCTGATGAGGCTCAGAAAGGGGCAATGTTTTTGAAAGGCCACCCTGTTGTCTGAAGTCGGAAGTCTAAAGAGAAGCCCTCTTGATTCTGCACTGTTTCCACTAAACCACAGTACTCCCACTGTGGGATATCATTTGGGGATCATTACATTTGAATACTTTCAAAGGCAAGTTCACATTTACGTAAGTCTCTAAGCTCACATTAGGTTAATTCAAAAAAAAAAGGAAAAGGACAGCATATAACCTTGTATACCTCAGAAAGTATTACTTTACTAGATACTATTAATATTTCTTTCTCAATTATTGGCTTTCATCAGCATTTCTCAAACTTTTTTTTTCCACATCCACATTAAGAAATACAGTTCCCATTGTGATCCAGTACAACACACATATGTAAATGAACACAAAAATACACATGCATATCCATACATACCATTTAATAAGTGTCCCAAATAATACTTGTATTCTATTTATTTTTAAATGTCAATTTCAACCCCTGTATGTATTTCCTGACTGGTATGCTCAACATGGAGTATACCAGTCAGGAAAAATCTCTTTAAATAGAAGACAAGACAAGATATTATTCTGCCTCCTCAAACTGATAAGAGAAAGAAAACATTATGAACAGGAACAATGGAAAACCAACTGAACAAAGAAATAAAAATGTAAAATATCCCCCTTTAACTTCTCTGAAGTTTACTGACAAGCATGGGTAAGACATTGCCTCTAGTAGGCCTCAGTGAAACAGTTTTTTGCTTGGTGATAATAATCATCAATTTAAAAACCACAATACTATAAGCAGCCATTCAAAGTGAGTTAGGCCATTAGTAATTACCTGGAGGAGATGTGAGTTTTAAAAGTATATGAGAGAAGTACAGCAGGAAATAGAGCAGGAGATGCTAGCTTTTTAAGATCTCTTGAGGACAGGTAGTCTAAAGAGTGGTTTTTTTCCTGAGCTCTGCATAAGTCTTCGGGGGACATAATCTCACAATGCAAATCCCACCTTACCATTCTGGATATGGTGCTCATCTTTCCCACAGACAAAGTATTTTGTGCTCCACCTTCATGTATTTCAAATGCTAAGTTGTCCATTGGCAGAAAGGATCAAACAATTCACTGAAAAAGAAAAAAAGGGAAAGGAAAACACAGCTTTAGGAAATTGGGAAGATCCGAAGAAGAGAAGAATAAGAACTTATGGGTAAGGGAGCACTTATATAGAGCTAACAGTTAAGGAAATTAAATAAGGAAGCTGTCTCTCAAATTATAGTCTTAGTTTAAAAAAAAATTAACTTGAAAGAACTGTAAAACAAGAGGCCAATCAGATACTTCCTTTGGTTCCTGTTCTTTGCCCACTGATGACACACACAAGTAATAATAATGATAGCTAACATTTACTTACCATGTGCCAGAAATTGTGCTAAATGTTTTACAAGCATGTGGTTTCATTCTTACAAGAAATCTTTTAGGTGCTATAATTATTCCCATTTTTTACATAAGGAAACCGATGACACATACACAGGTCATAATCATCATAGCTAATTTTTATTTCCTCCTCTTACTGTGTGCCAGGCATTGTGCTAAGTGTTTTACAAACACGGTGATCTCATTCTTACAACAAGTCTGTCAGGTGCTATAGTAATTCCCACTTTTCAAATTAGAAAACTGAGGCATAAAGAAGGGCAGGAAATGCCCCAAAATCACAGAGCCAGTTTTAATGCTAGAACAAAGCACCTTTTATCCTAGGATTCTTCCATTATATTAGTACATTATTAGCACAGCTAAATCTTTTGCACTCAAATCAGTCTTGCCTATAAACAGTGAGACTGGTTTTCCTAATAATTTATGAAATACTTAGAAGTTGAATCTTGTAGAATTCATCTTGTATCATCTATATTGGTGAGTGGTGGCCTGACTACTTGAAAACTTCCACTGTAATTCACAAAACAGTCATCTGTCTTTCTTTCCTACCCATCTTCCCACCTCTACTTCTTCTATAAACATGGCTGAATGTCTTCTATATACCTTAATGTATTACACTAAGGTACAACATTTAGAAGCCTTTGAGTAGCTCATAATCACGTAGAAGAAAGAATACAAATAATTACAATAAAAAGGCTAAGCTTTATGTTCTAAGAGTTATAAGTACATACAGGGTCCTGTGAGGATGCAGGGGGGAAAAGTGTAGGTCAGAAAAGGCAAGTCTTACACTAAAATGTCACTTTGAACTAAGTCTTCAAGTCTCAACACAGCTTCCTTGGCTAGCCACACTCAGTCATTTACATTCTATTCTATATTTCTGGCCTGTATATAGGCAGCTTGAGAACAGACCATATGGTAAAAATGTAGATCCTATTGGGGTCAGGCAGCATAAGCTCCAATAAGGCTGGAAGTAAACTTATTTCTAAGTGATACAGAGTTGATTGTAGGGTTTTTTTTCCACTCTATTTCATCAAACCTAGAAGGCATAATTTTTCCACATTTTGAAATCTCTGAAAATAGGATGTGTTTCAAAATAAGTGGTCTCTTAGACTCACCAAAATGTAATATGGCCAGTTTTCTTCATTTTATCAGGCAGTAATATCACACAAACCTTTAAAGCAAGTTTTATATAATTATGGATTTTGCTGCTTTTTCCTTGAAATGTGAAAACACTGCCCTCTGAGACCAGCATTATTTAGAGGCTATATTTAACATTTATTTAAACAGCAGGACAAGCAAGTTATCAACCAAGCTGCATTTAAACTCACTGGCCCATTGAACCAAACAACTGCAGCAGCTGGATAAGGTCCTTTTGACCTTTTACATATAAGAAAATGAATGCCCAAGGAAGCTAAGTATTTTTCCCAAGGAAGCAGAGTTAAGATATTCACAGAGTTAAAACAAAAGCTCAACTCTCCAACTGTCAGCCAGAGCTTTCCTTACAAATTCTACTTGCAGCAGGAGGACTTCAGGCCTTTTGATACACTAAATGGTTCAAGATGAATTGAGGCAGGACAGCTGAAAGCAGGATTATTATAAAAATCCTTTCAAGGCATGCAAACGTAATTCTGTAGTGCAATGTAAAAACCCACTCAAATAGTGGGAACTTCAAGCATTCACATTTTCCTCAGAAATGGAGTTGGTTATATAAGACCAAAAATGCCTAGCCGGCTGGGAAGCAAAAAGACAGAACTATAGACTGAACCAGGTCCTGCTAACAGCAGCCAGCAAATATCAGACATAGAAAATGGGTAGAAAACTGATGGTTCCATTTAGTGTTCATATAATTACATATCTAATAATCATTTTAAACAAGAGACACATTACTTATATATTGTAGCCAAAGACAAATTAACACCTCAGAGTTGGAAGAAAAATCAATAAATACATGCCAAATATTTTTACTTTTACTTCATTGTTTAAGCTACCATACCGCCAACCATTAACACCAAAAAATATTTACTCAGGTTTTATATTTGACAGCACAAATATAAAACCTTCTCAGTTTAAACATAATTAGAATGAACAGACATTTCTCAGATTAAGAAATACAAATGACAAATAAATACATGAAAAAATGTTCAACATCACTGGTCATTCAAGAAATGCAAATTAAAACAATGCTGAAATTTCATTTCACCCCAGAAAGAAAGGTTATTATTAAGCTATTAACCAATAACAAATTCTGGCAGGGCTGTGGGGAAAAAGGAATACTTTTCCTCTGTTGGTGGGAGTATAAAATGGTACAATCACTGTCGAAATCAGTGTGGAGTTTCCTTAAAAAACTAAAAACTAAAAGTTCAATTTGACCTAGCCAGTCCCCTTCTTTGTGTCTTCTTGGAAGAATTAAAAGCATCACACCAGAGCAATATATGCACACCCATGTCTATAGCAGCATAATTTGTAGTAGCTAAATCTTGGAAACAGCCCAAATGCCCATCAATGGATGAATGAATAAAGATGTGGGGTTTTTATATAATAGAGTTCTACTCAGCCATAAAGAAGTATAAACGAGACATTTCTAGCTAAATAGATGTGCCTTGAAGACTATACTCTTAAGTGAAAAAAATTAGGCACACATGTTTAAATATCACATTGTTTCTTTGGTGTGAAAAATAAAAAATGTAAATCAGGACCAAAATGTGTAATACATATTGGAAATGAGAAGAAAATGTTCAAATGGGAAGAGGAAAGGGGGGGTAGAAAATGAAGAAAGAGAAAAGGAAAAAAAGAGAATAGAAGAAAAAAATGGAAACAAAGCTTTTGTAAATAAGGAGAAGAGAGGCTGAAAGGAGGGAAAAGAATTGGGGAAAAAAGGAAGAATCAAGACATATTAAGTACAGATACAAATTCCCTATAAATGTGATTACTATGTATATCTAAAATGTAGCAATAAAGTTAACAAAAAATATTTTAAATTAAAAAACAAACATAATTAGGAGATATAAACATCTTTACAAAGTGACCAGTATTAACAATAACCATAATATACCTTGGTATCACATACTCCCTCATATGATACAGTGAGGAGGGTAAATCACCTGAAATCTAAGGTAGCCATGCCAATAATGCATAATTTCAATATAATCATGAAAAAAGAGCAAAAACACCAAACTGAGTGTTCTATAGTTTAAAAAAGTAATGACCCCTCAAAGTGGCAAAAAGGAAAATAACCAACAGATTAAAGAAAGACAACCTATAGGAAGGGATAAAATATTTACAGATTTTTCATCTGACAAAGACTTAATATCCAGAATATATAAGGAATTCAGACAACCCAACAATAATAAAGCAAATGACCTGATTTTTTTTTTTTTTTTTTTTTTTTTTTTTTTTTTTTTGGTTTTTCTCCGG